CCGACAGTGGCCAGCACCAGGTGCCCCAGAGAGGGTGGACCGAAGACAATGATCAAGCGATTTGTCTCCTGCCATCCCTCTCCAGCCTCTGACAACCAGAGGCCAAGGACACCATTTTATCCCCTGGCTAATAGCCTTTTATGATGGACCTAACCTCCATGAAATTATCCATCTCTTTAAACTCTATTATAGTCCTAGCCTTCACAGCCTCCTCTGGCAAGGAGTTCCACAGGTTGACTACACGCTGTCTGAAGAAGAACTTTCTTTTATTAGTTTTAAACCTGCTCCCCATTAATTTCATTTGGTGTCCTCTAGTTCTTCTACTTAGGGAACTAATAAATAACTTTTCTTTATCCACCCTCTCCACACCACTCATGATTTTATAGACCTCTATCATATCCCCCCTCAGTCGCCTCTTTTCTAAACTGAAAAGTCCCAGTCGCTTTAACCTCTCCTCACATGGGACCCGTTCCAAACCCCTCATCATTTTAGTTGCCCTACACAAATGGGAATTCTCCGGGCGCGCTGTCCGACAGGCGAGGTGACACGCTACACGGCTACACAGCGGGACACAAGATGGGACTGACACGCCACCTGGCAGCTGACACCCTGCAGTTTGTGCCGAGAGCGGTTACGTCTCCCATACCATTTCAACTTACTTTCTGCCGCCAGGGAGGTGAATATGACCAGGGCCAGGAGCGTCTTCATCGCCGCCATTGCCGGGTCTCTGGACCGTTCAGGACGGTTTCTGGTTTGTATTAAGGTCTTCCAAGTAATCTACCAGCGTGATTGGATCAGCTGTCTGGGGATAACACGCTTAGTGCACAATCGGTGGTTAATACCTTCTGAGCCCTTGGGACAGGCTGCAGAACCCAAGGGCACTGCCAGGCCTACAGCCGGAGCCGGGTGACGGTGGCCGTGCTCCGGGCCTCCCGAGGCAGGACTTGGTTTTCAAGGCTGTTCTTACCCTGCGAATGAGCGAATCAGGAAGGGCCGCTGCTCAGGACGGTCCGACCCAGACACTCGGCTCCGGCTGTGGCAATTACGCGGCGGAGTCGAGGCACCTTCTTTCGAGTTTCCGCGCCGTCTCCACAGCGGGAGGCTGACAGGACAAATGCTAGGCCAGGGCTACTCAGCGCACGGCCCGCGGGGCGGTTTGGGTTCACGCGGGGCTCAACACACGGCCCGTGGGTGGGATCCTTTGAACGTGGCCTCCACTGGGAACGCGCTCCCCAATGGCGAGGCGGTTCCCAGGCGGGGTGAGCACTGAAAGACGCCAGCGGACAGGCCGGCTGGACCAGACAGGTGCAGGGTGTCGGCGTTTCTAGCCCCCAGGGAGGTGCCGGGAGCCCCGGGGCATTGTGGGAAGTGCTTTGTATTCATGCCCGCCAGGGTGAAAGAAGCTATCTGCATATGCATGTGCATATCTATGCAACCACACCTAAGCTGTGGCCCTCGGTGTGTGCTGTGGCCCCCCGGGGCTTCCACGGTTGAGTAGCCCTGTGCTAGACCCACTAAACCGAACTTCAGAAGCTCGATGGCAGCAGTGTCCATCTGCGTACTGAAGACGTGGCCTCCGTGATGTACGTAATGCCCCACGGGTGGCTTTGGAGGGGCCTGGCTGCTAGCAAAGCACCTGACCACACTATCCTGGGGCAGATGCTCTGTCTTCGTGCCTGCCAGTAGAATGTCCCACGCACCGACAGGGGGTGGCTCGCTGGCCCACGCAGTGGCCCTGAGACCACTGACAGAGCGAGAGGCGTCTGCCCTGCAGCCTTAGCAGGGAGCCAGGTGGCTTTGAGCTCCAGCTGCAGAGGCTCACGCCCTGAGTTCCAGGGGCTGCAGGTTTGGTTCTCCCTGGCGGGTGTTACATCGATACAGGCAACGTGATGCCCCCCAATAGTAACGCTGTGCCTGGCTTGAACAAGTCCCGTCCCGTCTGTAGCGAGCGCCGTGCGGATGCTTCTCCTTTGAGCGAGGGAGCAGGAGGTGGGTGAAAACAGGCTCGTTCAGACACACCATGTCCAGCTTATCAAACCACACTCCCCCAGGCGGCGCTGAATGCAAAAGGCTCCCTGCCGGTATCTGCATTGCCCCCGGGCCAAGGTTGCACTGACGTGCTCAGGAGACGCTGGTTCATGCGGGGAATTCGGAGACAGGATACTCAAGCTAACCTGCACCGTGGTGACCTTGGACCGACTCTGCGGCTCAGTTTTCCTACCGGCTCCAGGAGGGGCCAGTCCCCCTGCTCTCCCCTTGCCAAAGCACTCGGAGATCCTCCCACGGGGCTTGGGGGGGAGTATCCAGGACCATTTATTTACATCCCTTTCACATGCACCTCCCCTTGCTCAGCCTGCACATACTGGATTTCATCCCCTCCTGCTTGTTTCCAGTCTGGGAGGGTGCAGGGATTTCTCAGACGGGAGAGGCAGGGGAATGCAAGGCAAACCAGCAGGGCACTTAGCAGTTCAGCAATTGCCTGCAATTCCCACGTCCTTGCTCTGTCCCAGCAAGGGGAACCGAGCTGCTGAAAACGCAGCGCGGTCGGGCACAGCAGAGTCTCGGTTTTTGCGTATAGAATGCTTCTTAGCTTCAGCAGCACTGACGTTGCAGGGGGTTTAAAATACCGATAAAGCTGATTGACAGTGCTAAAAAAAGGAACTCGCCTCCTCCCGTTTGATGGAGCTCCGCCTGGATCCAGTTCTCCCGGTCCCAAATCCTCCATCCAAATCTCCCAGCCTGAGGATTAACAGTAATTATTGTTAACACTGGGCATCTACATTGTGTGAGGCTTCCTAGACCCTCACAGGTCAGGCTGGAAAACATCCGCCTTCTTATGCTAGACCCACTAAACCGAACTTCAGAAGCTCGATGGCAGCAGTGTCCATCTGCGTACTGAAGACGTGGCCTCCGTGATGTACGTAATGCCCCACGGGTGGCTTTGGAGGGGCCTGGCTGCTAGCAAAGCACCTGACCACACTATCCTGGGGCAGATGCTCTGTCTTCGTGCCTGCCAGTAGAATGTCCCACGCACCGACAGGGGGTGGCTCGCTGGCCCACGCAGTGGCCCTGAGACCACTGACAGAGCGAGAGGCGTCTGCCCTGCAGCCTTAGCAGGGAGCCAGGTGGCTTTGAGCTCCAGCTGCAGAGGCTCACGCCCTGAGTTCCAGGGGCTGCAGGTTTGGTTCTCCCTGGCGGGTGTTACATCGATACAGGCAACGTGATGCCCCCCAATAGTAACGCTGTGCCTGGCTTGAACAAGTCCCGTCCCGTCTGTAGCGAGCGCCGTGCGGATGCTTCTCCTTTGAGCGAGGGAGCAGGAGGTGGGTGAAAACAGGCTCGTTCAGACACCCCATTTCCAGCTTATCAAACCACACTCCCCCAGGCGGCGCTGAATGCAAAAGGCTCCCTGCCGGTATCTGCATTGCCCCCGGGCCAAGGTTGCACTGACGTGCTCAGGAGACGCTGGTTCATGCGGGGAATTCGGAGACAGGATACTCAAGCTAACCTGCACCGTGGTGACCTTGGACCGACTCTGCGGCTCAGTTTTCCTACCGGCTCCAGGAGGGGCCAGTCCCCCTGCTCTCCCCTTGCCAAAGCACTCGGAGATCCTCCCACGGGGCTTGGGGGGGAGTATCCAGGACCATTTATTTACATCCCTTTCACATGCACCTCCCCTTGCTCAGCCTGCACATACTGGATTTCATCCCCTCCTGCTTGTTTCCAGTCTGGGAGGGTGCAGGGATTTCTCAGACGGGAGAGGCAGGGGAATGCAAGGCAAACCAGCAGGGCACTTAGCAGTTCAGCAATTGCCTGCAATTCCCACGTCCTTGCTCTGTCCCAGCAAGGGGAACCGAGCTGCTGAAAACGCAGCGCGGTCGGGCACAGCAGAGTCTCGGTTTTTGCGTATAGAATGCTTCTTAGCTTCAGCAGCACTGACGTTGCAGGGGGTTTAAAATACCGATAAAGCTGATTGACAGTGCTAAAAAAAGGAACTCGCCTCCTCCCGTTTGATGGAGCTCCGCCTGGATCCAGTTCTCCCGGTCCCAAATCCTCCATCCAAATCTCCCAGCCTGAGGATTAACAGTAATTATTGTTAACACTGGGCATCTACATTGTGTGAGGCTTCCTAGACCCTCACAGGTCAGGCTGGAAAACATCCGCCTTCTTACAGATGGAGAAGCTAAAGAGAAGAGGTTAAGTGATTTACCTGAGGCCATCAAAGGAATCAGTATCAGAGCTGGGGTTAGCACTGAATCCTATCTCCTGATCTGATTACAACCCTCTATCCTCCCTTCTGCAGCCAGCCTGCTCCAAGTGTATGCCACCATGTAAACCCCCAAAATAAGCTGAACTGAGAACATCCCCTTAAACGAGCATGAAACGACAAAGTACATGACCCGAAGGCACTGGATATTAATACCTTTAAAATGAATTTTTGGTGAGTTTTGGTGTCTATAAAAGTCAGCCTCAGGATCTGATTCTGATCACATTTGCACTGGTGAAAATCCGGAGGAACTGCACTGAAATCGAGGGAGTGACCCTTCCCCTGCTATACGTGAGGTTAGACTCGGGCCCTCGCTCCACATACAAGAATCATGATTCTAATACAAGAAAAGCATCAACAATGGTAAATACAGTTTTTATTCAGGCAATGAAACATGGAAAAAATATATTAGTAATCCTTATTATAATCTCCTTTGTGTGAGTAGAACTCTTACAAATATTTACCTGACATATAAAAGGGAAGTTCTCATCCATACAAAATGTATGCAGATGGCAGATACATACACAGTACAAAGCAATCCTGATAGTAGTCAATGCAGAGTTCCTTTTCCTGCCTCGGGGAGGGACGAGGCTGGATGAGGAATGCAGTGGGACCAGATTTGCAGTTGGGATGGTCACTAATTGGCACTTCATTGCAGACAAGGGATCTACTGGCAAATGTACACGTGTAGAAGCAACGTTAATCGTTAATCGTTTGACAGGCAGGCGCCTCTGACAGTTCAA